CAATGCCCGACCACTCTCTCTGTGAAGAATTGTTTCCTAAAGGAGGTGTTTCTGCTCCAGCACACTCAGGGGGCAGCTGGTCTTGGGCAGTGGTGTGTGTGTGTGTATGTATCCCCTCATCACCGTGCTGGTATCATCTCTGGTGACAGCTGGGGGGCCCAATCCCCCATGCTGCTCTAGGTACCAGCCCAGCACTACCCAGCTGCACACCTCCAGGGACACCAGGACTGAGTCGAGCCTGTCCCTTGGTTTCGGTGAACGGTTCTGTCTGTGTCAGCATTTCTCTCAGAAATGTTTTTCCTGGTTCACCGAGGGCAGACGGGATCAGACAATCAGCAGTTCTTCCCAATGCCAGTCAGTCGCTTTTCAGGTCATTGTGCTTTAAAAAAATTCACAGCTCCTGAGGCAAGGATGGCCAATTGCAACCCATGTAATAGAGCTGGGGATAACAATAACTGGGTTCTGACTGGTCCCAATTGCAGAAAACTGGGACAGAGGGGCTGGTGAACACCAGGTTGCTTTTATCAGCACTTTGCTCCTTCTCTCAAACCTCCTCTCTCCAGTCTCCTTCCATGCCCCCACAGGTTAGAAAGCACAGAGCTGTTTCTGTTCCCTTTGTCCATCTGATGGGGAGCACTCACTGCTGTGGGACGTCTGCTTCTTTGTTCAGTTTTCATCTTTGCTTCCAGAGATCATCCCTTCTTCCATGTAATGGGGTTATGTCAGCCACTGGCCTGGGACACAATCCTGCATTGCCAAAACCATCCCTAAACAGCTGAGCACTCAGCACCTCTGAACCATGGTAAATGCTGGTTCCTGGTGCACAGCAAGCTGGTGGCACATTTTGGGACCTTTAGTCAGAGGTCAAACAGGCAAATGCTTGGAGAGGGTCAGAGTAGAAACACTCTGGCTTCACCTACCCCTCAGCAATCCTTCTTTGGGTAGCTTCAGCCTGAAGGGCAACTACTGGAAAGTTCTTGTAGCCAGCAATTAGCAACTACTGGAAAGTTCTCGTAGTCCGGTGGGAAATGTTTGGTGGAGATAACCTTAAGCTACACGAGGAACCATGTTTATACAGCAAACACAGAGTGCACTCCCCAGCCTCTGTCATAAGACAAACCACACTTGTAATTTCTGGGCAAATACCTTTATTGCACTAAGGAGGAAAGTCTTCCGTATCTCAGCCTCCACCGTCAGCAGAAGTGCAGCTCCTGAAGCCCATACAGCGAGGGGCAGCTCTCCTCAGATAAAGGTGAGCAGAACTGAGTGACAGCAACACTGCGACAGGGAAACGCACAGAAATAAAACATGGACCAAGAGGATAAAAGCCTCCTTGGAAACCATTTGTGCTTTGGTGCACGTGTGGATCCCAGCAGCCATGCTTTGGTTTCTCTCTCTCAAGGGTTTCTCTGGAGTAATGGCAGCAATGTGGAGATTGGCTTGGAGGGAAAAGTTATTGGTTTTGCTTCTCTACCATAAGAGTTCTCCAGTTGCAATCCTGTGCTGTTGTGCTTAGAGCACGAGATAAACATCAGTGACCCAAGCTCCTTCTGCTACATCCCTGGCTTGGAGTCTCCTGGGCTTTTTACTGGAAGTTAAGCACTCAACAGCCCCTGTCTGCTCCGCAGTTAGCCCCAAAATGAGAAAGCCAGGAGCAGCACAAATTTTGTGCTGATAGATCAGAAGACGCAGATGCACACAGCCATTTTTCCAGCCTAGTAGAAATCCCAGCAGCTTTTGGTTGCCAGCTGAGGGAAGAGGTTGGTTGAAGGCAGGTGTAAGTCTAGACCAGAGCATCAAGCACTTTACTCCCTGTGCTACCTGGAATTGATGTGCTCACTTTGCTGAGTTCAGGCTTTATGGCAGGACCATAATGGAAGGCAATATTGCTGAAAGATGAGGGAGGATTGAGGGAGGGAGGCACCCTATGGTGCTGTCACCCCATGAACTCAATCCAGAGGTCAACAGGCTTTCCAGCTCAAGCCTGGACTCAATCCAAGCACAGCAGAGCTGACTCGAACCACCTCCTCTCTCCAGCTGCAGCTCAGATCTAGGTGAAGCTTGGAAGATGGTATTTTCACCAGCATGAGAGCACTGGGCTCCTCAAGAATGGAGACAGGGTGTATGCAAAGGAGTTGGCATCTGGGACAAGAAGAGCAGAGAAATGGTGGTACCATCTGGCACTTGGAGGCAGTGCTGACCTCCACCTTCTGCAGCGGTGAGAAAAGGGACACCTTGAGCCCTGTTGGACAGGGGAAGCAATGGGAAACACCACGCTGACCCCACATCCAGCCCCCCCAGAATGATCCCCCTTGTTGTCAAAAGCCCAGAGAACTGAAAATACCCCTGGCATTTTGTGGGCAGGTCCCGGCAGGAACTCTTTTTTTCCCTGACAGAAGGAGACAGCTAATGAAGTACTGCACAATTAGTGGTTTTATGACACAGAAAAATTGATGACAAAGTCCTTCAGTAAAAAACACATGATTGGTGCTTGCTTACCACTGATAGAGGAAATAGCAGCTCCTGAGCATGTAAACTCCTTGCTGCTGGCAGGACGAGGACCGTGGTGGCCCATGCCAGCTGCTTGTGCTGGGAACACAGAGTCTAGCACGGCAGAGAGCGGAGCCAAGCCCTGAAGTGAGCTCCTGGATAGCCATATGAGGAATGGCAGGGACAGGGTGACCTGTGCTGGCAGCTGGCATCAAAGTGTGACACCCCAAGGGGAACAGCCAAGCCGTCAGCGCTGGCTTTTTTACCAACCAAGAGAAGATGAACACTGGGTTGTGCTACTAAATTGCTATTGCAAGCTGGGCTAACTGCTTCCAAGTCAGTTCAGCTACATCTCTGCTCTACCTGCAACCGGTTTGGGAAATGGGAGGTGAGGGACCCCAGGGGGAACAGGCAGGAAGGTGGAGAGATGGGTCCTGTTGTTCCCCCCACTCAAAATCCTAAGTGATATTTCAAGGTTTCACTAAAAGGCTGCATTAGCTGTAATCTCTTCCAGCTTTAATCTCTGCATTCAGAAAAGCAGGACAGGCAGCCCCATGCTCCTGCATTCATTTCCCCCCTGAGCAGAAAGATGGGCTTTGTGTCAGTAAAGATTAGCAACTACTGGAAAGTTCTCGTAGTCCGGTGGGAAATGTTTGGTGGAGATAACCTTAAGCTACACGAGGAACCATGTTTATACAGCAAACACAGAGTGCACTCCCCAGCCTCTGTCATAAGACAAACCACACTTGTAATTTCTGGGCAAATACCTTTATTGCACTAAGGAGGAAAGTCTTCCGTATCTCAGCCTCCACCGTCAGCAGAAGTGCAGCTCCTGAAGCCCATACAGCGAGGGGCAGCTCTCCTCAGATAAAGGTGAGCAGAACTGAGCGACAGCAACACTGACGACGGGGAAATGCACAGAAATAAAACATGGACCAAGAGGATAAAAGCCTCCTTGGAAACCATTTGTGCTTTGGTGCACGTGTGGATCCCAGCAGCCATGCTTTGGTTTCTCTCTCTCAAGGGTTTCTCTGGAGTAATGGCAGCAATGTGGAGATTGGCTTGGAGGGAAAAGTTATTGGTTTTGCTTCTCTACCATGAGAGTTCCCCAGTTGCAATCCTGTGCTGTTGTGCTTAGAGCACAAGATAAACATCACTGACCCAAGCTCCTTCTGCTACATCCTTGGCTTGGAGACTCCTGGGCTTTTTACTGGAAGTTAAGCACTCAACAGCCCGTGTCTGCTCCGCAGTTAGCCCCAAAATGAGAAAGCCAGGAGCAGCACAAATTTTGTGCTGATAGATCAGAAGATGCAGATGCACACAGCCATTTTTCCAGCCTAGTAGAAATCCCAGCAGCTTTTGGTTGCCAGCTGAGGGAAGAGGTTGGTAAGTCTAGACCAGAGCATCAAGCACTTTACTCCCTGTGCTACCTGGAATTGATGTGCTCACTTTGCTGAGTTCAGGCTTTATGGCAGGACCATAATGGAAGGCAATATTGCTGAAAGATGAGGGAGGATTGAGGGAGGGAGGCACCCTATGGTGCTGTCACCCCATGAACTCAATCCAGAGGTCAACAGGCTTTCCAGCTCAAGCCTGGACTCAATCCAAGCACAGCAGAGCTGACTCGAACCACCTCCTCTCTCCAGCTGCAGCTCAGATCTAGGTGAAGCTTGGAAGATGGTATTTTCACCAGCATGAGAGCACTGGGCTCCTCAAGAATGGAGACAGGGTGTATGCAAAGGAGTTGGCATCTGGGACAAGAAGAGCAGAGAAATGGTGGTACCATCTGGCACTTGGAGGCAGTGCTGACCTCCACCTTCTGCAGCGGTGAGAAAAGGGACACCTTGAGCCCTGTTGGACAGGGGAAGCAATGGGAAACACCACGCTGACCCCACATCCAGCCCCCCCAGAATGATCCCCCTTGTTGTCAAAAGCCCAGAGAACTGAAAATACCCCTGGCATTTTGTGGGCAGGTCCCGGCAGGAACTCTTTTTTTCCCTGACAGAAGGAGACAGCTAATGAAGTACTGCACAATTAGTGGTTTTATGACACAGAAAAATTGATGACAAAGTCCTTCAGTAAAAAACACATGATTGGTGCTTGCTTACCACTGATAGAGGAAATAGCAGCTCCTGAGCATGTAAACTCCTTGCTGCTGGCAGGACGAGGACCGTGGTGGCCCATGCCAGCTGCTTGTGCTGGGAACACAGAGTCTAGCACGGCAGAGAGCGGAGCCAAGCCCTGAAGCGAGCTCCTGGATAGCCATATGAGGAATGGCAGGGACAGGGTGACCTGTGCTGGCAGCTGGCATCAAAGTGTGACACCCCAAGGGGAACAGCCAAGCCGTCAGCGCTGGCTTTTTTACCAAGAGAAGATGACACTGGGTTGTGCTACTGAATTGCTACAGCAAGCTGGGCTAACTGCTTCCCTGCTGGCAGCTGGCATCAAAGTCTGACACCCCAAAGGGAACAGCCAAGCCGTCAGCGCTGGCTTTTTTACCAACCAAGAGAAGATGAACACTGGGTTGTGCTACTAAATTGCTATTGCAAGCTGGGCTAACTGCTTCCAAGTCAGTTCAGCTACATCTCTGCTCTACCTGCAACCGGTTTGGGAAATGGGAGGTGAGGGACCCCAGGGGGAACAGGCAGGAAGGTGGAGAGATGGGTCCTGTTGTTCCCCCCACTCAAAATCCTAAGTGATATTTCAAGGTTTCACTAAAAGGCTGCATTAGCTGTAATCTCTTCCAGCTTTAATCTCTGCATTCAGAAAAGCAGGACAGGCAGCCCCATGCTCCTGCATTCATTTCCCCCCTGAGCAGAAAGATGGGCTTTGTGTCAGTAAAGCAGCTGAGATTCCCCCATTCTTGGGGGGGAGTGCAGGCCTATTGCCATTAAATGTAACTGTCGTCTTCTGTCTCTGCATCTGTGTGAGACATGTCAACTTTCACTTCTGCAGCTGGGGGTGATGAGCTCCCCGGGGCAAAGGACACCCCCAGCCCTCTGTGGTGATCATCTTTGTCATAATCATCATCTTCCTCCTCCTCCTCCTCCTCATTATCATTCGTCTGCAGATCTTGGTCACTGTCATTATCACCATCTGCTGCATTGTCCTCAATCACTTCAACTGTCTCTCCAGCATCTGGATCCACATCAGTCTTAAACCACACGGCTTTGTAGCCATCATTTCCCGCATGCCTGTCTGTCTTGAGGATGGACTTCACTTCTTTCTCATGCTCAGTCTCTTCTTCTGTTTCTTCCCTTTTTTGGGGGGGGAGTGCAGGCCTATTGCCATTAAATGTAACTGTCATCTTCTGTCTCTGCATCTGTGTGAGACATGTCAACTTTCACTTCTGCAGCTGGGGGTGATGAGCTCCCCGGGGCAAAGGACACCCCCAGCCCTCTGTGGTGATCATCTTTGTCATAATCATCATCTTCCTCCTCCTCCTCCTCCTCATTATCATTCGTCTGCAGATCTTGGTCACTGTCATTATCACCATCTGCTGCATTGTCCTCAATCACTTCAACTGTCTCTCCAGCATCTGGATCCACATCAGTCTTAAACCACACGGCTTTGTAGCCATCATTTCCCGCATGCCTGTCTGTCTTGAGGATGGACTTCACTTCTTTCTCATGCTCAATCTCTTCTTCAGTTTCCTCCATTTTATCCTCTTTCTCTTCCTGGTCAAAGATGATGGTGGAAGCTATAGAAGTCTTCGGGACGCTATCAGTTTCTACTGCATTGGAAGAGGGCAAGAAAAGTGCTGGCTGCTCTGGCACATGTGTCATCGACCGGTAAGTGCCGTTTTCTGACGTCTCGTGCTGTTTGGTGCTCACATTTTCATATTCATCATGCTCATAAGATTGGTTCTGGTAATCCCCAAAGGTGTCCTTGGAGAACTACAGGAGGAGAGAAACCTTGTGATTGTAGTGAAAGGAAAAGAAACGGGGTGTGGGGCGGGAAGGGGTGGCTGAAGTCACTGAGCTCATGCTCAGGAAAGCTTCAGCTTGTTTTGCAGTAAGACTTATTTGAAGCCTGGGAAAGACACAGCTCCTTTTTATTTATTGACTCCCTTTCTGGGGTTTTTTCCCCCCGATAAGCATGGGCATATCGTCCCACCATTGCTGAGCACCAGTAATGGATTCTGATTTGTACCCAGTTGGGGTATTACCCTGGAGTGGGATTTACCTCTCTTAGGGTGAGAGACTGTTGCTATTCCCCTGAGCTGTGCGCTCTGGACTCATGTTGTAGTCAGTGGAGTCCAGGCTCCTGACAGTCCCGTCCTGAGGCAGAGACCAGCATCTGGGCAGATGAACTACACCCCAAACTTAACCCAACCACCAGGGACTTGAGGAGCCAAAGGTAAACAGCTCAGGTGCAGCCAACAGTCTGAGCCCAGGCTTTAGGATAGGATATGAAGAGACTTTTGTCTCCGTTGACTGTAGAGGGAGGATGAGCACTGGTTTATTCTACAGACACATGTTTTTCAGAGACTACCTGTGATATGTGCCACGTTCATCCTAGATTTTGTGCTCCGTGGAGCTGTAGTCCCCTCATTACCATATCTGCTCATCATCTACCGTACAGCTCCAGCCTCAGGGGGCAGAAAAGAAGAGCAGCAAACACCACCAAAGCAACCCTGCCTTTGCAAACTTTGTCTCAGGAGTAATTAATCACCTTCACACAAACATGTGTAGTATTTGGACAGCCCATCCATAGTTTAAAAACTCCTCAGATTTCCACTAACTCTAAGAAATTTGGGTGCAAACAAGGCACTTACCTTTTTCCTGATCAGGCGTTTGACTGGTTCTCCATACTGTTTATATACCATCACTCCAAGGAAGATTAAGGCAATTAATAGCAGTGCTGCTAATGTACCACCTAAGATGGCCATATCCTGAGCAGTGTGTATCTTGTTGGAAGCGGTTACACCTGCAAGAAAAACAGACCAGTGGTACAAAGCTGAAAAATGGCAGCTGACTTTTTTGTCACAAAACTTCATTGTGGGAGAAGCTCCAAACAACTTTTGCATGGAAAAGAGGCATCCTGGGCTGCAGAGAGTGACAGCGATATATATTTAATGTCACAGAAAGCCAGTTGTTTGCTGTCCTAAAAGCAGAGGTTATGGTTTGTTGGTTTTATTTTGTAAGGTGACCCCACAGAATATTTTAACTTCCGATGAGCTACATGAAGTGGAAATAGCATCCATTCACAGGACAATGACTTATTTAACTAAGCTAATATATTCATGACTGTATCAGATGCAGATGTTCCATGGAGTAAAACTTGGTAGGGGTAGGTCTTTTCCTTTCCCACTTCTCCCATTTACACCAGCATGCAAAACTGAGGTATGTTCCTACATATGTGTGTGAAAGTGTGAAGCTTCTGTTAACCACAACATCACCTCCGATACTGATGAGCACATTAAAATCAGAAATAAGAAAGTATAAGAGGAAACAGGAAAAGCATGAGAAGGTCCCTAGGACAGGAAACACTTTCATTCCCTTTTGCAGCTGTAGCCAGATGCAGCAGCCTTCTCAGGAGCAGCTTGTTCTTTCAGCCACCCATCAGTGTATTTGTAGAGACCAACATTACAGTGGAAAGACAGTAACTGCCTCAAGGGTAACCAGCTTGCTTTGGTGGTGATGGTGGGATTCTTTAAGTTTTCTAGTTTCATTTTATAGTGTAAATTAATCTCTTTAAAGTTTAATGATTAATGAAACACAGTTTTGTTCTCTTGCTGACCTGTTTATGACAATGGACTTTGAGTATTCCCTCTGCACTGACTGCACCCTCAGTTTATCATTAATGCGTTGGGGAGGGTTTGGGACATCAGTGAGTTTCTGCTTCTTACTCATGTCTCCTGGGGAGCCACAGCCCATGGAGCTGACGTGAAACTCCACCACCCTCCACTCCTCCCGTGCTGTGCCCCACGCAGTGCCTCTGTGCCCGCTGCCCCAGCTTGGTGCAATCACAGAATCACAGAATCTTCTAGGTTGGAAGGGACCTTAAAGATCATCTTGTCCAACCGTCAACCTAACTGACAAAAATAGACACCCACACAACAAACAAGGAGCATCATCACTAAACCAGACCTCCCAGCACTACATCAACCCGTCTTTTGAACACCTCCAGGGATGGGGCCTCAACCCCCTCCCTGGGCAGCCCATTCCAATGGCTGAGAACCCTTTCAGTGAAAAAATTTTTCCTAATATCCAGCCTGAACCTCCCCTGGCGCAACTTGAGGCCATTTCCTCTCGTCCTGTCACCTGTGACTTGAGAAAAGAGACCTGACTCACCCTGAGATCCCCAGGGCCTGGCTCTGGCACTGAGGTCTCAGAAACCAGAGGCCAATGTACAGTTACAGCTTCCCAGAAGGAGAGGATATTAAAAACAACTCTAACTTCTCCCTGGATATTGGAACGCTCAGTAAAACACTCTCCAACCCAGTGCGTGCACATTCCTTAACACCACTTCTTAGAGTTGAGGGTTAAATATCCTAAAGATTGGCTGGGCAAATGGTAATTTCAGCTGTTTGGTCCATTCCTGGGTGCTGGCTATAGTATAGAATGGAGCTCAATGCCTCCCATAGTGTCTGAGTCAGTCAGTGTAATTTCAGTCTGCTTTTTTGCATAGCCACCATCATCAGTATTTTGTGGAGTTTAAATACCAAGGGTAACATTTAAAAGTTGCACAGAAGTGTTGGTACATCTGTTTGGAGTGTTTGCAGCTCAGTGTACTGACACCTGAAGTAGCTTTCTGCTCAGCTGGACTGTGGACTTAAATTTGGTTTAGGTAGTTTTCACACAGCCCGTGTTTTGAGCTGTGCAGTGACACTACCTTGAGGGAATCCAGGAGCCCATTTCTTTTTTTCCTCCAGAAATCCCCATGATGGTTGTAATTCAGAGGATGAAGTGATGGAAGAGCCCAACCAGAAACTTCAATCACACATCATCATGGAGAATCTGGGCATTATCTGCCTATCCTGGCGTGAAAATGCATGATATTTGTTCATCTTAACCCAAAGCATAAGAAGCTTCATAAGCTTCAAATCTAACTGATTTATAAGATCTGTTTAAGAGCCATTTCTAAGAAGAATGGAAGAGTAAGCTATTTTTATGTCAAAACCAAATGAGAGCTGGAGGGTTATGTATGTAACCTCATGTCTATCTTATTTCTCATGGCTCATTTCTTCTGGTAAGACCTTAAAATGTTGGAGTATGAGAACTTGACCCGAGTAGCAAATGCTTTGGGCTCATGAGGAAGCCCAGCTTTGTCAGAGTTTGCCAGCTTCTGTCCGTTCTGCATAAGACAGGAAATAATATTGCAGTTTTCTCTATTTCTGGCTAAAAAAAGAACAATAATGTACCAAGGTGTCAGGGCAACTCTCCTTTGCCATAAGACATCCTGGGTTATTTCTGCCTCATAAATGTCCCGCATGAAGGGACCCCAGATTTATCTTCAGAATAACAAGAGAAGACACTACGATGCACGGCGCCACTTACAGTCTCAGGAGGCTGTTCAAGGCCTGTGGTGATCACGTGTTAAGGATATATTTTGAGTGTTTTCCCTCTTACAGCCACCATAGAACCTCAGGGCACTTCAGCGGGTGACCTGTCATTGCCAATTTGCCCACAGAAATGGCAAAGATACCCCAGTCATCTCCACAAAGCAGAAAACAGAGACAGCCAGCCTACCTGCGGCAGGGAGGACCTCCACCACGATGACAGTGCTCGCCTCCTCCATGCTCACCGTATCTCTTCCAACAGCCTGTGTGAACGTGGGCAAGAGATAACTGAGGAACTTCCTAGAAATCCAACTCACTCTTGAGCGCTATGGTGGGCACTTTGTGGACAAAGTACCTTGTCCATATCCTCACCACATGCTCACGATATCCTTGCCTTGTAGCTGGACTATAAAGTCACAGAGGAAGAAGAGCTCTGAAGAGCCCTCTGTCCTGGGCCAGCACCAGGTGTGTTGTTTGTGTCCAGCTTTGCAGCACAGTGCAGGCAGATGGACAAAGTGAACATCTAGCTTCTGAGGAAATCTAAAGTTGTTAACTGCTTCCTTTGACCTGAGAAGAAGAAGTACTGGATTTACCAAAGAATTTCCAAGTTTGAGGCTGTAGCCTTTAGAGCTGGGGTATATGCCAGCGATCATACTCTACCTACACACCAGCCTCTTACACACTTGTGGATACTTCCTTTTCTGTTAATCAGAATCAAACTGTGGGAAGGGGGCTCTTAAATACCCCCAGTGACTTTCTTCTTGTCTCCAATGATATCTCTCGCAGGACTGGAGAAACAATTTTACAGCTAACCCCAGATACAGCCTGTATCACACAGAATAAATTTGCTATCACTTCATCTCCCTCCCTATACATTTATGATGCAAATTGTTGGGGCAAGGACTGTCCCTTCATTATATCCCTTACCTAATGGAATTCCGCCCTTGGTGCTTCTCTACTAGAAACTACCCCTTCCCTCCATGACCCTAAGCAAGATAATGAAGAAATTTGTCCTACCTCAATGGTTACAGTTTTTGGTGACTCCAGCATCACGTTTGTCAAGATGAGTCCATCTTTGGTTGCAATGAAATCCGTGCTGTTTTTTATGTAGTACTCAATGCCTGGGTTGACTTTCTGAAGAGCCAGAAGAGCAAATGATTAAACTACTCTGTTTGTGCTTTGCACACATCTTCATAACAGCCCACTGGTGGGACTTTTCAAATACACCTAAAGTAGGAGCAGGTGGATAGTGCAATAAATAAATCTGGACTGAGGAGGTGAGAGAGACTGAACTCAAGTGTGTTCATCCTGTTGCTCAGAGTTCAAGAAGGTATTCTAAAAGCTTTGCCTCCAGAAAAAGCCCAAGTCTTACTCAGCTTGTGTTGGTAACTTTAGTATTTGCCCAAGTAAAACTAATCTGTGCAAGGGACCTCGTAAATTTGATGAGTTCTGCCTTTAATACAGTGCCAAAGGACGATGTACATGGAGAAAAATCCCCCTGCTGAGATGTGCACAAATTTTTCCTTTGTATCTAGGCTGTTACTCCTCTACCAGATCCCCAGTCTTGTTATGGAAGGCTTGGCATCAATAAAACAAACACTTTTTCCTATATTTAATGGGGCAGGATGAGAATGGCTTTCCTTCTCCCAGTGCATTGTTCAAGAATGGCTCTCTCAAAATGACTCCTTACAGGGAGAAGGTTAACAATTTTCAGCCCAGGACTGCAGGTCCTTGCTTGTCTGTTGTCTTTGGACTGGCTCCTCTTCCCAGGCCAGTCCACAAACAGCTCTCCTTGAGCTGACAGAGAGAGGACATCTCTGCCTGGGATCCTGCCACCTTGAACTCTTCAAAGAAACACTTCACTCAGCCCGAATTCAGACCTGCACCCATTGACAGAACTCACCAACCCCACGCTTTCCTCAGCGGGCTGTTTGGCAGGGGATCAGCTCACCCTCAGAGATCTAAGTGGGACTGGCTTTTGGAAGAGAGGAGTCCAACAACTTCTCCACATTACATTATACCATCAGCAGTTCTGATCTGGGTGGAATTTCCAGGGAAATATAATATGGAACACCAGAGGAAAACATGTGTTTCCCTCTCCCCACCTGCCCTTCCTCATGTTTTCTGATCCTGCACTAAGCCTGAAGCAGTGAGAAAGAATGCAGTGCATTTTCAGTTTCTTACATCAGTGAAATCATCATCTTCTGCTGTTATCACCAGGGGTGTTGAAGGATTCTCAGCTTGGAAGACAAAGCTTTTTGAGGCCAGACCAGCAAATACCGTCCCATTGTAGATCTTGGTCTTAAAGTATGGTGGATGATTATTTTTACTGACGACCTTAATGTCTACACGGGCTACGGAATATTTCTGTATATTGTTGACCTGGGCTGCCTGGAGAGAAAGAGAGAAGGAGAGAGAGATATGACAGCCTTTCCCTGTTAGTGATGACATAAGAGAATAGACTTGATCTGAAGCCCATTGCAAGCCAGGGGGTTATTTCCATCATTTTCAGTGAGCTTGGAGACAAGACTGTCACAAGTGGCTGTATGGTTTGGAGTCCTTGTGTTTCAGCTTGCTTCTGCTGTTAGCCCTCCACACAGTCTTAGTCTAGCCCCAAAATCTAGATAGGATCCTCCACAGGGCCGTGCCTGGACAAATTGCCAGGCTTCAGTACGAAACAGTGAGATTCCAGCAGGCAGAGGCTGCTCATCTTCATGAGGGTTTGGGTCAGTTCAGCTACTGCCTGAGAGTCTACATCTTCCTGGGTATGGACCTGCAGGGAGTGCTTTTCAAATCCCTCCTTTCCTCTTGGGCTGGAGCCAAAAGCAGAGCTCATCTCTACGCTGAGTTACTCTAACTACTGTGACACAAGCTCCACTCATGCCTAATGAAAACCTGTCAGTTACACTCCTCCATATTTTCAACTCAGCAGGATGTCCCCTTTCAGTTAATTTGCTTTGACGATGCAATCCACACACGAGGGGGAAAAAAACCCTCTTAACTTCTGCAAGAGCTTGGCATGAAATTGGTATAAGACACTGGTCAAATGCTAGACCCTTCCAAAATAAACGCTATAACCAAGTTAGCTTTAATTAATGTAATGGATTCCTGTCCCATGGAGACCACTGTTTCCTAGAAAGCCAGCTATGCGGGGTTGTTGTCCGCAATGTCATCAGACTCACCATGACTTGCAGTACGTATGTGTCAAAGGAAGTTGCCGCGTTTTTCATCGTTAGATTCCCTGTGTCTTCATCTATTGAGAATACGTTGTCTTTGTTCCCTAAAGAAAATGGAAAGACCGTTCAAATCGGCAGGTACCTTCATAAAGTGACATGGAGCTCACTGACTGGTACTTTTTCACATCTTGGTGACGATACCTTCAGGGCATAATGCTGGTTTCCTTGCCTGCCTGGTTGCTCCAGGGGCTGGGAGTGCTGGGAGGTATTCAGAGGGATTCAAAGACGTGGAGCAGATGTGTGAACCCAAGTAGATGAGGTGGAACAGCTTTACATGTCCAGTGCCCAGGCCCACATATAGCCAGCCTAAATTCTGCTAAATGCCTAGATCCTAGAGACTCTGCTGCAATTTGAGGACTGAGGGTTTCCAGTTTCCTAACCTGAACCCAAACCCTAACCAAACCCCACTGCACTTCAGGAGAGATAAGGGAAGGATTATTCCTATTTTAAAGGCAAGAAATCAATCTATGAAGAATGGTTGGGTGGGGATTTGTCTTGAATAGCTTTAGGCATCTAAAGGGAAGACATCTCTACCCGACATCTCTACCTCTCTATTGTGAAAAGAAAATGGCATCTCAGTGCATGATTTATCAAATTTACTGTGAACATTTGCCTCAAAGTGAGCTGCATTCTGAAATGCCCTGGAAATGTTTATTTCTCTCTACTGCCTACAAAAGGAGCCTGGACACAGAAACATTCTCATATTGATGCAGGGGTAGAAATCAGCTTCCTACATCTCTAATCTGTGCTTGAATTCTAAAACATCTATGTTGGATAGCTGTTAAAATATAAGCAAAAATTTTAGTTCTCATCCTCACTCTGAGATACCGGGGGCTGTATTTAGACAAGGAACACCCAGTCTGGGGTTCCCTATTGACCGTGGAGTAGGGAGGCCACGCTACATCCAAGATGCCAGCAGAATTTAAGGTTCTTCAATGTATTTATTATCAGGAGGATAATCAGAGATGTGGTGCTGCGTGGCGTAGGTAAAGGGAGATCAAGCGCTCACTCCGCCTGACCAATGTGATCTACCTTTGTCTTGATAGTTATTCAAACCCCCTTATTGTTTATAAAAATGTTTTTAAAAAAAAAATCCTTTGAATGAAATAAATGGCCCAGTCAATGATTGGGCAATCAGGTGACTGTATTCAAGAAATCTTTTTGAAATCAAGACTAAAATAGGGCAGATTGGACAGTGGCGATGTGCTGGGGAATAAAAATGTAATTCTTGGCAACGAATGTGAATTATGCTGATGATGTCGGAATTACAGGTTCAGTTCAAAGATTGAATGAAAGTGGTGTGACCAGACTGGCAAAATCAAGTCTAAAAGCTTGAAGATAAAATACGTCTCACCTCCCCCCCAAAAAAGCCCTTTTGAAACAGGTTTCAAGGAGATTGGTTTGTGGGACTGTAATTCCCAGTTTCTTTCTCTCTGTACAGTCTGTTTCTTGTACTTAATCCACAACATTCTGAGGATCTAGTTCATTTTCTGTGGCGGAAACAGAGGGGCAGATCCCCAGGCCCTCAACTCTCAAGTGCCGCGGAGGGTATCTCCTCTCGGCAGGTACCGTAGGAGACATACGATCAATGGAAGGTGAAGTGTCTACTCACCACCAACGATACTGTACTTGATTTTTTCATTTATAAGGTAGTCAGGATCGACAGCGTAGATTGGCCCCGGCTGCAGGACGAGCGGTTTTGTCTGCAATAGCAAGGCCAAGCATTACACCCCACGTTCTCCCATCCCAGCATGGCTCCGGTGGGTTTTTTCTGGGCAAAATGGCATTTATTACTGGGAGAACAAGGACAAGCAGTGCCATTTTGGGGTGGGGTGGGGGAGAGCCTCCACTTTCCAGGAGGATGAAGGCTCCCTGTCGTGCTGAATGGATTTATGACTGGAGATCACCACAAGCTCCTGGAAATTATTAGGCAGTACCCCCTGGAATACCATCTGGATATTGTCTGGGGATAGCATCAAGGATACAGGTTGATCACGCCTCCTTACCGGGGTCTCGTAGATATTCACCGTCCCGGTGTAGCCACTGTTGATGCAGATGCTCTTCGTCGTGTTAATGAAGGAACAGGGTTTGAACCAGGGTGATTTGGTGTCAGCTTGTTCAATATGTACGTTTATTGTTGCGGTAGCCGTGTTGGTCAGTTCAGAGCTGTCCACAGGCCTGTCCTGCACCCAAAAGCAAAGCCCACTCATGAGATAAAAGTTCCACTGCCAAAAGAAGAACCCACCTGCAAAAGCCAGTGGCCCAAGGGCTTTTGGCTGTTGTAACTCCATTCTGTCTAATGTTCAGCAGTTTATGTGAAATGAGCTAAAACGGTGAATCATCTCATTCTGCTGACAAAGGTGGACAGAATGTGAGGCTGGACACAGTCACCGTGCAATTCTTGCCCCCCTCACTGGAGAGGGGAAGGCTGCTCCAAAACCCCCCCCCCCCCAGTATCCACCCTCCCTCCTGCCATCCCAGACATCTCCCTCTTGGACTTACCCTTCAGGTAAAGGAGACTGGGACAAACAAGGCATTTTATTCCTCCTAACGAACTCACCCTTGCATACAAGACCAACGTTGTCAAATTAAATTTCTCATAGTCCAATGCTTTTTGTAAATAAATTGCTGGGTTATTAACTCCTTTTATGGCAAAATAACCATCTGTTCCCTGGGGGGAAAAAAAAAAAAAAATGGAAAAAACCCTATTAGCAGGCTCAATCACAGCCACGTACAAAATACTGCTCATTGCTGTGTTTGTCATCCCACTCAGACCTTTAGGCCTGGAGACCCGGATGGGTGGTGCAGTGTGAGAACACCAGGTCAATTTAATCTTTGGTGTCACACCCCAGCATTGCCTGCCTCGTCAGGAAGGTCTGGCATGTTCCTCTGAGTTTTCTCCTCCAGGATCCCTTGCTTTGGCTGCCCACCTGCTCGGCAGGTACCGGCTGAAATCTTTTACCTCATTTATTTCCTACACTCAACAGGCTGTCACCAGTCCTTGATTTTGTGTCCATGACAGCCAAACGATCTCACACCCGTGCACAGAACAGGTCAGAGATGTCTCCACACCCAAGAGCTGGTGAGATCACTTGCCTTTGTCTAGCACAGCTGAACTTTGGAAACAACCATAAAGCTAAACTGAAATAAGTTGCATTTTACTCTACAACTTTCTGCACTGGCTTTGGTTCTCTTATGTCTTCATGTCTTTAATCTTATGTCTTCGCTGTCTTGACTAGAGTTCCTCTGGATTTCTAAATCCCCCTGAATTTACACCGATGTGAGTACAAAGTTTAGTCCCACAGCTGAAATTCAAGAATTTGTGGTTTCTGTTCACAGCCCTTAAAATCCCTGGGGTTATGGAGGTGATGGAGGCAGAGTGTCAGACACTGCCTGCTCACTCCACAATGCTTTTTAAAAATTTAAAGACACATTTTTGATTTCTTTTGAATTTACTTTTTCTTGGTTTCTAGCCTTTGCGCTCTAGGCTGGCATCAATCTAACTGTGCATACGATTCACTTCCCATATTATCAAGCAAACAAGGCACTAAACTGGGACCTGGGGAGAGTGGTGTCTGCCTTTGACTTTGCCAAAGACCCTGTGTGTGGTCTTGGGCAGCTCATCTTATCTCCTCTCCGCAAGGATGCTGCTGGCAAACAGGACAATGACTCCTCCTTTTGTTATCTGACTCGGTGCAATTCTGAGCTCTGCGAGGTACAAAGGTCCCTCCTGATATGTTTACAGACCATCCCAGAGAGACTTGCCTGCATCATATGGCTCACAATATCCTCGATGAAAGTTTAACCTGTACAGTGTAATAAAAGCTTCAGCAGTAAAAGCATTCAATACCTGTAATGCTGATTGCTCTGTTCTGCCAACCAAACCAGTGCCTGGGTTTTGCAAAAGACACACCTCCTCCAGAAGCTCTCAGAGAACTAAACGCAATACGGCAGCCTTAGCCTCAGAGCTGGAGCAATTCTGACTTAAACACAAAGACTTCTCCAGAACTACCATTTTTTCCCCCAAAGATGCTCACCTCCACTTTCGTTGCGAGTTCGTAATAGATGGTGTCCAGGTCAGCATCGCTAGCGCTTACCTCCTCGAGGGCTACAATGGTTGTATTCACTTTTGTATCCTGAAACAAAGTCGCTGTGGTTATTCTTTCTGTGAAATGGGTTGAAGACTTTCTCCCTGCCAACCCTCCCTAGGTCCCGCAGCGCTGGGGGACTCAGGGCTCTCTGCACTGCCCTGAAACGCTTACCTCGGGAACAAACACCGTCAGGTTCCCTCGCGCAAACACCGGGCTGTTATCGTTCAAGTTGAGAATGTTCACTTGAATTTCCAAATTATGTGTCTGTAGAAAGGACAAAGCCAGAGATTCAAAGACAAAAATCAGGCTGCTGGGGGCTGATCCTGGTGGACAGAAGGACCGGAGGGGCTGGTGTGAGGAGCACAGCGGGGTGGGGGCTGCCCACAGAGTGTGTGGGGTTTGGGGGTTTGTTCCCTCCCCATTCACAGAGCCTTGTGTGCTCTCTCTGACTGTGAGAGGAGTGTGTGTGTCCCGAAAGGACATCTCCTGCCCTGCCCTGTAGGCCAGGTGCTGCCCTGCGGTCCCTTTGGGAGGGCTGAGTGTTCGGAGGAGCACTCACCTGCCCAACAGCGTTCTCACAGATCAGGGTCACCAGCAGCACGGTGGTATCCTGTGTGCAAAAACAAAAAGGCAGCCGTTGTAGAAACAAGCCAAAATGTACTAACTCATTCTAAAGTAAATGAGACAAATGCAGGCATTGCTGAATCAGAAGTGCTGCTGGGCTTTATCTTGTTTTCAGGCACATCTAGCTTTTCCTTTCTTTCCTGTACAGCCATCCATCAGCGCTGGGATGCCTTTTATGATGGAGTCAAATCACACCAATCTTCCAGCTTCTCTCCCTGTGATTCCTGTAAAACGTGGGCAGAGCTAATCGGCCATTTTCTCCCACTTTAGGTGAATTCAAACAGAGGTTTCTTTTTAAATTGAATGAAACAGAAATGTACCAAGCGGCAAGTACAGTGTCACCTGCAGGGTGATAACTCTGCTGTTCTTTGCTCAAATAAATGCAGGGGAAAGGCAGCTTAAGGATGCTTGTGGCAGTGTACAGAGTGCTCTGGGAAGGTAAAATAATTTAGCAGCAACCTAACTAAACACACTGACCTTTTATGCTGGCTTTAGGCTTCACACAAGATCTCCTGGTTGCTCAGAGCTGTGTTTTCTACAGGCTCATTTTCTACAGGATCATTTTACGAGCCCTGGAGAGCTCTGAACACTACAGTTGTCACATTTTTGGTTTTAAAACTTCCTCTGGCATTAATTCATACAGAGTCATTGAAGGAAGGTGACAGCAGGTCTACCATGCATCCACCACCACCACCCCCGCTACCGGAAGGGCTGACCTCCCAAGCAACAAGCCCAAACCCAACCAAAATAGGTTTCTTTTTCAAAGCTATTTCCTAGATGCTTTAGAAACAGGTTGTGAATCCCTGGAAGGCCAAGGCCCAGGTTGAAACTCATTGCGTCCCAGCATTATCCATGTCATCCTTACAGCCTGTCAGCTAAAGACTCACCTCATAGTCCACACTTTGGGTCAGCTGCAGCTCGGACCCCACTATGGCGAAAAAATTGCCATCGCTGGATGAAGGGGAAATCCTTACAGTGAAGCCTGGTTCTGTATTGATAGTGGCCACCACGTAGCCAGGAGGGTTATTTTCATTAACATTTGGACTGGTATCACTGACAGAACATCCTGGAAAAATACACAAACGAGACACAAAATTACGCAGGGATTCACATTGTGGCAGAGCTGGGCGAGACCTGAGAGCCCTCTGGTTACCCTTGGGGAGGAGGTTGTTGAACAAAACTGTCTCCGGGTAGGAGTGTGAAGATCTCCCACCTGTAATGGTGCAACCTGCTGCCCTGGGGGTTGTTCCTCTGCCTTCACCCACCTCCTGCAAGAGCTTACCTGGCTGCTGCGCCGAAACCTGTGTCATGAAGGGCAGCAGGAAGAGCACAGAGGTGAGGAGCCAGGGAGAAACAGCCATGGTGAGCTGCCAGTTGTTGAAAAAAAATCCCTGTTTCCGATGAAGCTGATCCACTTCACCCCTTGTTTCTCCCGGTGCCGTGTTCTGCCTTCACCGTTTCACGAAGGCAAAAAACGTTGTCTGCCTGGAGTGGATTGTTGCTGTTCAACCTTTGCCTCTTTGCCTCATTGGATGACCTGTTGAAAGATATTAACCAGTCACGGAACGTGATAACGCATGAATTCCTGTTTCTACTTTGTTCCTGGGTCTTTCTTATTCTAAACTCTCTGTAGCAACAAGGGTCCGTTTGAAGCATTTCGTAATTCAGAGCCAAGCTCCCTGAGATGAGCACGAAGGAGGACAAGGGCTAACACTGGGGAAGCTGTCTGTATATTCCAGCCTCTCCCACTGGGGAGGAAGTGGGCAAATTTATGTTTCTGATATGCCAGGATCTATTTTGGTCAGATCATTTCCTGGAAAAAGGTGTAATGGTGCTACTATACCTCCTATGTCTTATTTTTTTTAGCCAGTCTTTTTCTGCATGGCCCACTCCCGTGGTTTAACTCCACCCAGCAGTGAGGACCACGGAGCCACTCACCCACCCCCCCAGGTGGAACGGGGGAGAGAATCAGAAGAGTAAGGGCAAGGTAAAAAAACTGGTGGGTTGAGATAAAGACAGTTTAATAAGTAGAGCAAAAGCCAAAGCAAAGCAAAACAAGGGATTCATTCCCTGCTTTCCATCAGCAGGCAAGTGTTCAGCTGTCTCCAGGAGAGGAGGGTTCCATCACATGTAAGGGTCACTTGGGAAGACAAACACCATCACTCCGAACATGTCCCCTCTTCCTTCTTCCCCAGTTTTATATCTTGACCATGATACCATAAGGCATGGAATATCCCTGTGGTCAGCTGGGGTTGGCTGTGTCCCCTCCCAACTTCTTGTGTCCCCCAGCCTGCTCACTGGTGGGCTGGTGTGAGGAGCAGCAAAGGCAGCAACCAGACCCATCACCGTCAACATCTCTTCCATCCCAAATCCAAACCACAGCACTGCACCACCTGCTAGTGAGAGATTAACTCTATCCCAGCTGAAACCATGGCACCCACATTCCCTTTCATAAACAGGTTTTGTTCTCCAGCCCATGACTTACGGTTTCTCTCTTCAAGTTGCAGTCTGTCATGTTGTTCCTGAAAAACAGATTTAAAAAAAAAAATTAATTTAAAGGCCAGTTCTCAAATGTCTCATCTTTATTTCCGGAAAAGGCAAATGTTTTGGTGAAGACAAAGCCATCTTGGCTGCTCTTCTGTTTGGGTGGTACAGGAAGGAGCTGGGTGCTGTGCCAGCCCTTGGGCTGAGATAACTGGTTACGTTTCTGAGACACTCTTGTCACTCCCAGCCACCCTGCAGCACCTTCCCAGGGTGAGCAGAGGGCATCCAGAGACAGCAGCCAGGCTCAGCCCAGTGATTACCCAGCAACTTTGTAGGGACAAGGCACGTCCCATTTTACCAGTTGCCAGCAATGGCTCCTTGTAGGGATGTTCCCCAGAACCTCCACCCAGGCTCCAATTATTTGCATCTGAGCATCCCTGAAGCCTCAATAGCCTGCTATTCTGCTCTCTTCTCCTACCTTTTCCTGAGCCTGTGTAAATTTTTCCAAGCTAAACACCACGTGGTGAGGTGTTTGTCCCCTTCTGCAAAGAAACACCATTGTTTTCAACTTGCCCATTGTGTAGGAGGAGAAAGGGGGCAGCTGCTCTGACTTCTGCTTTTAAAATGCCACTTGATTTCAGAAAGTTCTCAGGTGGCTGCGTTTTCACCAGATGGCCATTAGTGGCTTAACAACATACAGACTGTCAATGCTCCTTCCAAAAGTCCTTCAAGTCAAGTCCTTTCTGGCAGAGATTTCCAATGGACCAAAATAAACAAATGCCAAGGTCTGCAGGAACAGTCTTTCAGCATCCCTGGAGGGGAGTGGGTGATGAGGTGAACATTTGAGAGGGACCAGCTTCTTTTCAGGTGTCAGGTCCATCATAAATGGTGAAAAGTGGTGGTGCAGGATGGATTGAGCTGTTTCGTAACAGGCACGCGTGATTGCAGCTGAGGATGCCTTGTTTAAGAGCTCCTCTTCAAAATCTGCTGGTTTTACAGGAAAGGTGGAGTTGCTGTTCTATCAGAGGAGGGAATTTGCCAGGGAGTGTGGTAGGGAGATAACACATAAACCTCATTAAATGGTGGGAACAAATTCCTCTGAGTGGACCTTTGTCTTCAGAGGCTGTGAGAAGGCTGGGCCAGTAAACCCAGGGGCAGAATGGAGTGGGAACGATAGTGACAGGGTGTATCTATGTTGTGTGGCTCTCACTACATCTCTTTGCAATAAAATCCAACACCTGACTAAGTTTCTGCCGAACAGAGGCCCTGGTAGCGTGAGGAGTCCTGAGGCCCAGCCCCAGAAGATGTGGCCATGGTCTCCAGCTAGTCCCAACAGGCCACACGTGGGGGAAGCCTGGTAAAATACCTCTTCCCCCCCACCCCCCAGGAATTCCGCTCCCTGAGATGAGCACGAAGGAGGACAAGGGCTAACACTGGGGAAGCTGTCTGTATATTCCAGCCTCTCCCACTGGGGAGGAAGTGGGCAAATTTATGTTTCTGATATGCCAGGATCTATTTTGGTCAGATCATTTCCTGGAAAAAGGTGTAATGGTGCTACTATACCTCCTATGTCTTATTTTTTTTAGCCAGTCTTTTTCTGCATGGCCCACTCCCGTGGTTTAACTCCACCCAGCAGTGAGGACCACGGAGCCACTCACCCACCCCCCCAGGTGGAACGGGGGAGAGAATCAGAAGAGTAAGGGCAAGGTAAAAAAACTGGTGGGTTGAGATAAAGACAGTTTAATAAGTAGAGCAAAAGCCAAAGCAAAGCAAAACAAGGGATTCATTCCCTGCTTTCCATCAGCAGGCAAGTGTTCAGCTGTCTCCAGGAGAGGAGGGTTCCATCACATGTAAGGGTCACTTGGGAAGACAAACACCATCACTCCGAACATGTCCCCTCTTCCTTCTTCCCCAGTTTTATATCTTGACCATGATGCCATAAGGCATGGAATATCCCTGTGGTCAGCTGGGGTTGGCTGTGTCCCCTCCCAACTTCTTGTGTCCCCCAGCCTGCTCACTGGTGGGCTGGTGTGAGGAGCAGCAAAGGCAGCAACCAGACCCATCACCGTCAACATCTCTTCCATCCCAAATCCAAACCACAGCACTGCACCACCTGCTAGTGAGAGATTAACTCTATCCCAGCTGAAACCATGGCACCCACATTCCCTTTCATAAACAGGTTTTGTTCTCCAGCCCATGACTTACGGTTTCTCTCTTCAAGTTGCAGTCTGTCATGTTGTTCCTGAAAAACAGATTTAAAAAAAAAAATTAATTTAAAGGCCAGTTCTCAAATGTCTCATCTTTATTTCCGGAAAAGGCAAATGTTTTGGTGAAGACAAAGCCATCTTGGCTGCTCTTCTGTTTGGGTGGTACAGGAAGGAGCTGGGTGCTGTGCCAGCCCTTGGGCTGAGATAACTGGTTACGTTTCTGAGACACTCTTGTCACTCCCAGCCACCCTGCAGCACCTTCCCAGGGTGAGCAGAGGGCATCCAGAGACAGCAGCCAGGCTCAGCCCAGTGATTACCCAGCAACTTTGTAGGGACAAGGCACATCCCATTTTACCAGTTGCCAGCAACGGCTCCTTGTAGGGATGTTCCCCAGAACCTCCACCCAGGCTCCAATTATTTGCATCTGAGCATCCCTGAAGCCTCAATAGCCTGCTATTCTGCTCTCTTCTCCTACCTTTTCCTGAGCCTGTGTAAATTTTTCCAAGCTAAACACCACGTGGTGAGGTGTTTGTCCCCTTCTGCAAAGAAACACCATTGTTTTCAACTTGCCCATTGTGTAGGAGGAGAAAGGGGGCAGCTGCTCTGACTTCTGCTTTTAAAATGCCACTTGATTTCAGAAAGTTCTCAGGTGGCTGCGTTTTCACCAGATGGCCATTAGTGGCTTAACAACATACAGACTGTCAATGCTCCTTCCAAAAGTCCTTCAAGTCAAGTCCTTTCTGGCAGAGATTTCCAATGGACCAAAATAAACAAATGCCAAGGTCTGCAGGAACAGTCTTTCAGCATCCCTGGAGGGGAGTGGGTGATGAGGTGAACATTTGAGAGGGACCAGCTTCTTTTCAGGTGTCAGGTCCATCATAAATGGTGAAAAGTGGTGGTGCAGGATGGATTGAGCTGTTTCATAATAGGCACATGTGATTGCAGGTGAGGACGCCTTGTTTAAGAGCTCCTCTTCAAAATCTGCTGGTTTTACAGGAAAGGTGGAGTTGCTGTTCTATCAGAGGAGGGAATTTGCCAGGGAGTGTGGTAGGGAGATAACACATAAACCTCATTAAATGGTGGGAACAAATTCCTCTGAGTGGACCTTTGTCTTCAGAGGCTGTGAGAAGGCTGGGCCAGTAAACCCAGGGGCAGAATGGAGTGGGAACGATAGTGACAGGGTGTATCTATGTTGTGTGGCTCTCACTACATCTCTTTGCAATAAAATCCAACACCTGACTAAGTTTCTGCCGAACAGAGGCCCTGGTAGCGTGAGGAGTCCTGAGGCCCAGCCCCAGAAGATGTGGCCATGGTCTCCAGCTAGTCCCAACAGGCCACACGTGGGGGAAGCCTGGTAAAATACCTCTTCCCCCCCACCCCCCAGGAATTCCTAATGGTCCAAAACCTATTAATGATACCAGCCTTACTACTGTTTCCCAAAAAGCAGCCAAAGCATATGCATAGCTAGTAAATCTTTATTTGAGTTCAGAAGCAGGCAGCTGGCTGCAAACACCAAGGGGAAGTGATGTGCTTCGCTCAGGCTCCATCTACCGACACCGGCTCACGCCGACGTGTATTTCACCAGATATTCTAAGAGGTTTCATTGGGGTTTGGCTGCTTTCCAGATTTTATTTTTCCTTTCTTTCTTTTTTTTTTTTTGCTGATCTCAAGAGTTTTTCCCTAAGCAAATTCAATAGCTTCCTTGTTTATTTTCAAGGCTATGTACATGCAAAGCCGACCCCTTGGCTTTTTCTTTCATTTCACCTTCAGTCAAAACTGTCTGTGTCTTCCTTCGTGTCTGCACCCAGGTACTTAGAGATGGGGCAAACGTACTGGCTGGTGACTGCAGCAGCTTCCCTGGCATCGCTGTCCGAGTGGCTGTTGGAAGGGGAAAAAAAAGAGTGATAGTTTGTTGTTTTTCCTGGGGGCACGGACTGCAGGAAGGGTGACAAGGCCACCCTGTGAAATTCAAAGATCACTCCCTCACTGGGGAGGAGATACAGGATAGAGGGACCCAGATCACGGCTGGCTGCAGCCAGGCACCCTGCTGTTGCTCTTGTCATCCCCATTATTCTAGGCAATGTGGACAAGGGGTACTAAGGACCAGCTTATTCCTCCTGATTTTAGTGGTTTGGCAGTGAGATTTCTAAGTGAAAGTGGTTGCTCACTAGCAAGAGACAGGGTCCATATACTGGGGCAGCCCATCCCAAGGTGTGTGTTTGAATGAATAAGTGAATCACGACAGGGTAGCAAAGGCTTTCTGTTTTAGTGGTCAGATCAGGTTTCCTAATGAGATGAATTGTTTGAGCCCAGGATGACAGCTTTATGATTAGAAAAAGATTATTTCATTTCCGTGGGTTTTATTATTTTTAATAACTGGCTTTTATACAGCACTTCTGCACTGTAAAGCTCAATGCCAGCTCTGCTTTAGGTAAGGCAAAACAGAATCCAGGTGGGCCTGGCACGTAGAAATAGAGGTTACTGTGGAGGCAGGCACGGAAATCAAGTGAGCTTGCACCCCGTGCAGTTAGAGTAGAGCATTGGCTTTTCTAGCTCTGCAAACCAGCCCTGGAGTGTGGCAGAGGGACAAGAGGAACAGAAGTGTGTGATGGAGGGCTGCAATTCAGCAATGGCAGTCCCCGAGACGCTGCCTCACAATGGACAATCTAATAAATCTTCCACCCTTCCCTTTTTGAGGATATTTGTGAGGATATCAGCTGAGCCCCTCTGAGCTGCTGCATGACATTAGAACTCTGCACTTTGGGCAAAAACTAGATATTTACAAGTTACCAGAAGTCCTCCTTCAACTTCATACCGTGGTGAGCAGGGCCATAGAGGTGACAAATCTGTCCTACCTACCTGGTGTTTAGAAAGCTCTGGTACAACCACATAAAGCAAAGTTCCTCATGGCTGTTTTCTTCTCTCCCCTGCACATCTGTGTTGACTGGGCCTGGAGAGCTAGTTTAGATAAATAAAAAGAATAAGATTTTTTTTTTAAAACCCCCAAATAGTGTAACCACCACAGGTGTAAAGCAGCACTGCTGTCTGGAAGGCAGGTTCACCCCACCACCAACCTGCCCCATGGTCCACACTCCATTAACCTGCTGACTGTCACCGTAGATGTGCAGGAAGGAAAAGAAGTATTGCCTTCAAATCAGGCTCAGACTCTTTCTTCCAGGGGAAACTAGGCTAATTGCTGTGTTTCACCAAGGTAAAAAGCACACCAAAGAAGTGGGGAACTCAGAGGATACAGGTTCTCAGCTCCTCAGTTTTTCAACATGTCATCTGGGAACTGCTGAGTTCACCATCCCAGAGCCATTGAGTTGACCATGTCATTCCCATGTGACTTCCAGGGGAAACTACTAGAATAGAATCATCTGGGTTGGAAGGGACCTTTCAGATCATCTAGTCCAACCATCAACCTATCTCTGATAAAAAAACCAAAAGAAAACCACACAATAGAACCCGCCACATCACTAAACCGTGGCTCGAAGCACTATTTCAATCCATCTTCTGAATCTCTCCAGGGATGGTGCCTCAACCACTTCCCTGGGCAGCCCATTCCAGTGCTTAATAACCCTTTCAGTGTAAACATTTTTTCCTAATATCCAATCTGAACCTCCCCTGGAGGCAACTGGCAAATGGACAGGTTTCAATATGCATTTTAAAATGCACTGCACTCTCAAAGAGAGTCAAAGACCTCATATTTCCCATATATATATATATGATTGTATCTAAAGTCAGCCCAGTCTGGCAGTCAGTGCCGTGGGTGGGGACTGTGAAACTCACAAGTTTTCCTCATTCTGCTACGGAGCCCATTTACTTACAAACATTTTCTCCGGCGCTTTATTTGACGTAGGTAAATCACCTACAGCTTTCTCCAAAAGGCTAAATCAAACTGCAAACAAAAAAATCCCAGGCTGTGGTCCGATGTGGAGTTTTGTGTGCCGTGGATTTAGCTTGTTACGCACACGCAGTAGAAAATGTTGGTTTATGCTTAGAAATGGCCTCGGTGAGAAGGTCTGTGTCCTGCTCTGCCCGCTGTGAGGGGCAGGGCTGGCTGGTGGGATTTCTCTGCTATTGCAGAGCAGCTCCAGGCACAGCTCAGCGGGAGGAGACCAACCCCCTTGCTTTCTCCAAGCTCACTTGCCCTTGTCCTGAGTCTTCTGAACCACTGGTTGTGCCACCCCCCTGTCCTTGGAGCTGGGACCTGCCTCCCTGCCTCCTGCACAGCCCAACCTGCCTTCCCCTCCCCCGGGAAGCAGAGCCCCTACCTGTTGCGCTTGCGGCCCATGAGGTTCTGGATGAATTTCTGAACCTGAGCGTTTCCTCTCATCTTGCTGTACTCGCTGGTAAAGAGTCCATCCGAGTGCCTCTGGGACCTGCACCAGAGAAAATGCAGTACAGCAGCTGCTCCTCCCAGCCCTGTGGTGTGGGGCTTATCGTTGGACATGGGAATTTCCCTCTTCCCACCATCAAGGACCCCTCTATCCCTCCCCTTCTCCTCTTCTGTCTCCTTTCATCTTGGGCATCTTCTGGATGAGGCCAGTGCTCAGGCTGGCTCTGGAGCTGGAGATAGCTCAGTCCCGTGGGCATCCCCCTTCACTCAGAGAATCACAGAATGCTATGGGGCTGGAAGGGACCTCTGGAGATCAGCTCCTCCAACCCCCTGCCAGAGCAGGGCCACCCAGAGCAGGTCCCACAGGAACGTGTCCAGGTGGGTTTGAATGTCTCCAGAGAAGGAGGCCCCACCACCCCCCTGGGCAGCCTCTTCCAGGGCTCTGCCACCCTCACAGCAAAGAAGTTTCTCCTCATGTTTAGGTGGAACTTCCTATGGTCCAGTTTGTGCCCATTTCCTCTTGTCCTGTCCCTGGGCACCACTGAAAAAATACTAGCCCCATCCTCCTGACACCCACCCTTTCAGTATTTATAGGTGTTGATCAGATCCCCCCTCAGCCTTCTCTTCTCCAGACTAAAAAGCCCCAAGTCCCTCAGCCTCTCCTCGTCAGAGAGATGCTCCAGGCCCCTCATCATCTTTGTAGCCTCTGCTGTCCCCTCTCCAGCAGGTCCCTGTCCTTCTGGAACTGGGGAGCCCAGAACTGGTCCCAGTGCTCCAGATGGGGTTTCACCAGGGCAGTGCACAGGGGGGAGAGCCGCTCTCCAGCAGGTCAGCCCCAACCTGTCCTGGGACCTGTACTTCATTTCTGGGATCCCACCTCCTGCTGGAGACTTCCATGTCCCAAGAGGGTGGGTTTGGCTGGTCCTTACCTCTCCTTGAGGCCCACCAGGTGTTTGACTAGTTGCCGCACATAGGCATTGCCATTCATCTTGCTGAGCTCACTGTGGAAGAGCCCATCAGCATGTCTCTCAGTCCTGGGAGGTTAAAAGAGAAAAAAGAAGTGAAAAGGGTTGGGTTTAAGGCCAGAGAAGGACCTAGCAAGAAAACAGACTCAGGAGGTCTTTTTTACTGCAGTTTGATCTATTTGGGGTCCTGATTTTGAGTTAAGACAAATCAATGTTTCCATTCTTAAGCAAGAAAAATGTTTACAACATTTGCACTCATTTAACTAAATCGATTTAAGGAACAAAAAGAATCCATCAGTCAAGCAGATGCAAGTTCTGGAAGGAAGATAAAAGGCTGGCTTTATAGCTAGCGGGCTCTTTGAACAAAAAAAACCACAGAGAAAAAGGAAGCAGAGGCAAAGAAGTGCTTACCTCTCCCGGGATGGAAGAGAGGATGAGAAGTGTGAGAGGACAACCAAGGGAAGAATTAGTTGCCACAGACCAGTCATCCGGCAAACCATGTTCTCTCCTGAATTAAAGCACAAGGTTTTATGAGCAGCAGAACAAATGACCTTGGTCTCTGGGACAGCTCACTCGCCACGCAGGAGACATAGCTGTACCAACAACACTGCTGTAACTGAATCAGGCAGGAATTCCTGCCAGCAAAGGTAGTATTTCTTTAAAATCCAACAGATGAACAATTCAAACCACCTGTGCTGCCTGTCAGGTGGAAGTTGTTGGTGGTTGTTATCCCATCACCATCTCCAAGGCTGGCTCCATGGAATGTGTGTGCTGGGGTTCTGCTGTGAGTCACTATGATGTGCCATATCATGGGAGTTAATCCATCAGTGGCACCACACCAGGGAATAAACCCCATTCTGCTGTAAGTCTCTGCGAGCCGAGCCTTCAGGGAGAGGATTTAAAGCACCCACAAAGCCAACCCACATGGACAGTTATGAATACACCTAGAGGATGCCCAGGAGAAACCCGTTCGGTTTTTTTTTTCAGAGAAAAAAAAATTGGCATGTACCAAATAAAAGTTCATTTACACACAGGGGAAGGGAAGGGCTCCTGTGTGTGCCAGCATCTGCCTATCGTCTGCTCTTCCGAGAAGGAAAAAAGAAATAACGCATGTTTCAGTGGCAGCAGAACCTTGTATTTTTTTTTTTTTTACTGAAATAAAAAGAAAAGAAAAGCACGTTTTGTTTATCACAAGCCATTACATGTTTTTCCCTTTTATCTCCAGGCTCTTTTTGCAGCCCTGTGCCTGCAGAGATGTGGATGAGCCTGTATAGGGCACACATCTCCCCAGGGATTACACAGGAGCCTTACCTGTAATTTATAATACCCCTCTCTTCCTCCAGCAGAGGAGCAAACCTCGCTTTCTCAGTTGCTGTCCTGGAGACTCTCAGGCAGTACGTGCGAACTCAAAATCAAAGTCCTCCCACTTTGGTTTTATTTTAGTCTGAAACCAGACAGTACAAAGCGCATTAAAGGACTGTCAGAGTTTCCCGAACCCTTTCTAGCCACCCTTGTGGGACTGCTTGCTGCTCTGGAGATGGTGCAAGATGAGGAGAGGAGAGAGGAGGAAGGAGACGAGGGGGGGATTTATACAGACATTTATTCGCCGTTAAGCCACAGCGCAAATATTGAACGGGGGTTGCAGAGCAGACAGGTGAGAGGTTCTGCATGATTGAGGAGCCATAAGCTTCATCTCACACACACTTTCTGATGCTTTAGCGTTGTGTTTTCCTGCCTGATTTGGCTTTGAGGGGAGAAAAAGAAGTAAAACAAGAAGGGCATTTCAAAGATCAGTTTCTTACTGGAGTCTGAACAAACCAGAAGACTCCCCAGTACCAACTGCCACCCAAGGCAGAGCACACCACCCTTCAGGGAAGGGAAACCTGGATCCTGAGCCTGTCCTTCAGTCTGTCACACAATGCCTTCACCCCCAGCCAGGATCTCACCATGGCATTTTGCCCTTCCATGTGCCAAACCTGGGCTCTCACTGTCTTGGAGCACCACATTTAAGAGTCTATTTTAAAGCCCATCCCTAGCTCCAGAATTTCCCTTCCTCATAACCTTTCCAGCTGCTAATCAAGTGGATCAACTTGTCTTCTCCCTTTCTGGACATTGTTTTGTCTCCCCTGTGCTTGCTGAAGTTGCTAGGGATGGTAATGGCCATTGGGGAACTTCTCCTGTGTATAAATAATGATGTTTTGCATGGGGTTTTTCAATCAGTCAGACCCCTGGAAGGAGGTAGATCTTCAGAGTCATCACAGTAGAACTAGTTAACCACCTTGAGATACTTCTGAGCTTTTTATTGCCCTCCCCAGTTATGCTGGTTTTCAGTAAATGCAAACTCCTTAACTAGCTGGGACCTTTAGCTGACAGAAGCGCTCACCAAGCCAGCCCAGGACCTGGGCACGTCTCAGCTCTGCCCAGCAGACACATCCTGCTGCTGAGCTGGCAGATTGCACCCACAGGCTTTGCTGGATCATGGGTCCCATCACCCTGCATCTCCCATCCCACTGGCGATGGGAGAGCTTCCAAAAAGGCTGGTACACAGCCAGTTCGTGCAGCTTCCTCCTGCCCATCCACTGTGCTCTACCTAAAACTAAAGACCATGTATATCTGAAAGCCTTCAAGTCCAGCTGCTGTTTGGGCTCCATTCTTTGTGCCTTTCAGAGGAGGAACCCCCCCCCATATTACCAGCATCGCTGCTCAGGAGATGGGTGGGCTTCATGGCAACGGCTCAGCAAAGCATCACAGAAGCCTGAAACCCACCACCCAAAAACAGAAGGAGGGAAGGAGACAACAGGTCCAGGCTGAGCGTGTCAGCCCAGAGGTACTCACCCACCCGTGGGCACTCCTGGCTCTCAGTTGGCTACGAGGCACCACTGGCCCACTCCCCTCCATCGCCCCCTTTAAATCTGCAGCCCTTATCAGAAGCAATTATTTGGGGAAAGATATGAATATGAGTAATCATGATTAACAGCAAATAATGCATCCAGGCTGGAATGTCCTTTTAATTACTCTCTCAACCCGATCAGGTCACTCGCAGCAGTTTGATGGACTGTGTTTCTGCTGATGGGTAATAATTCCTGCTTCTGTCTATAACGGCAGTAATTTGTTGGGCAAACATCCCTCTACCAATTGATTCATTGTGATTGTCTTCATTATCTCTCCTCCTGGCTTTAATTACCTCTTGATAGGAACTTAATCTTCTGTTCTTCTTTTTTAATCCTGGCTTGGGTTTTGTTTGCCATTGCCAGGAACTGCGGGTGAGTGTGTGTGTGTGTGTATGTACCTGCGATTTGGCTACACAACGTGTCACTTTTTTAGCACAAACAGCGTTTGATCAGTAGGATGAGGGGTGACTTTTGCATGAGGGGACAATACCTTTCAGGCTGTGGTTTCACAGCCGTCTCTGGGAAAGGTCCTCTGAGAACAGACTGTATCTCAGCTTCAAAGGAAGCAGCATACTTACACATGCACGGAAAACATCCTGAATGTATTCCCTGCCTGTGCTGGGGTTTGGAGCTGGTTGCTCTCAAATACTGCTACCAAACATGACATGGAAGTGCAGGGAGAAAATAGGATTATGTCCTTTCTCTCCTTCTTTATGTTGTATAAACTAGCTTGGAAGGATTAATCATTATAAATAAATCTTCTTATCATCCAACTGGAGAAATAGGAGCTATATCACACTTTTTCTTATCTGCTTATCTTTTTTTCTTTGGAAAAGCAGAGGCCATCCCTGTGACTAGAGGGCTGGGAGTGTCCTGTTTTCCCTGTCATCTTTCCCTTGGAAGAATAACCAACCCACTGCTGAGCAGGACGCCTCGGCACCACTGGATATGCCGGACCCTGCAAAAGGGAGGGGAAGGACCAGCAGGGACATTCCAGTTCCCATTCCAGGAGTGGAGGACCAAGAGGTGCTGTGGCCACTGCTTGCTCCTCCTTGGAGACAGTGCAGGTCAGTTCTGCACTTATCCAGGCATTTCCCAACCATTTTCCTCTCCTTTCCCTAACAAGATGCTGGCATTCCTCCTGCAGCCCTCCCACCGTCGCTCTGATACAGCTCTCCGTGGTGTTACGGCCTCATTCACTGTATTCCCTCTCTGCACAGGGAGATGTGGACGTCTTGTGAGTCATGTCCTTCTCCCATGGCAGCTGAAAGCTCTTCTGGGCACCCAGCCCTGCTTTGGGAGCCCCCAGTGACATTAGTGACATGGAATCACAGAATTGTCTGGGTTGGAAGGGACCTTTAAGATCATCTAGTCCAACCATCAACCTAACTGATAAAAAACCCACCACTGAACCATGTCACTAAGCACTATCTGCAATTCTTGTATTTTTGTTCTCTGTATTTAAATTGCCATACCTTCCATATTCATATTTTCTGTCTGCATTGGTGGTGGCTGGCTTCCGCGTGGCCTCATGGTGGTGTTCTCATCTGCGATTGAGAAAGCCCACCTAGGAACAAGGCAAGAAGGAAAAAAAGCTTATTATTATATTAAAAAAATGGCTAAACAACATATAGGGAGCTAAAAGTGCCTACTGTGATTTCCTTTCCTTTGCAAATAACCTCAATGGGTCTGAAACGCCCCCGGGCTCTGGGGGAACCAGTTTGCTGTGAGAATCTCACCGGGTCTGGGCAAGAGGCAGAGGGAGGAGGATGATGAGGAGGATGATGAGGAGGTGGCCCCACGATGGCAGCAGAGGGTGAGTTAACAGGAGAGTAAAAGCTTCTGGAGACTGGAAGACCATGAACTAAGTAACCTGATTTATCTACTTTGCAATAAAAAAAAAAAGGGGGTTGGCCTTGCAGCAACAGTGTGAGAGAGTGAAAAGGTGATGGGGTAGAAAAGCGCGTGGCCGTGTCCAGCTCTGCTGCACCATAATGCAGGTGACAACCACGGGCTTGAGCTAAAATGCAGCTCCTGATGTCCCTGGTGAGGGAATTCATGCAAGGAAGCTCAAAAGCTCTTGCAAGTTGAAATTTATACCTTAATAAACTGGAGCCCAAGCCAAATCCCCTGAAACAGTCCTGAAACAACATCTGATTCTCCTTTAACCAGAACGAGCATTAAATTCTCATCAGGAGACATTCTGGAAAGAGGAGTGATAAGGAGGGCTGCTTAGCAATATCAGCTGAACGGAGCTTTGTCAATTTGCACCTTGTTTTTCCCAGTCTCCAGCTGCCTGAGCATTCCAAGTGGGAGCGGAGATTCCCCTTGCCTGCATCCAGCAGGCACAAAGCCTGATTAGCTCACCCATTAATCACTGCAATCAACCCACCGGCTCCCTGCAGCAGCACTGCAGAGGAAAGCTCCCTAGCACTGACTCAGAGAAAGACAAAGGGAAAGGAAATTATTGCCCTCCTCCGAGCCCTGCTCCTTGCAGAGCTGTTGTACCTGAAGCTGCAAGAAGTCAGGGCTGAGCAGATCCTTGTCACCAGCTCCAGGGACGTACCTAATTATGGGACACAACCCCCTGTTTTTAAAAGCTGGAGAGCAAAATGCCACAAAGGAGCGCTGGGGCTGTGCACCAACAAGACTCCTTGAGGAGAAACACCCTGGGGCAGGAGGGAGAAGGGGTTTGGGAGCCTTGGGGCCACCCCTGAGCTGGAGACAAGCCGCCCTGAGGATGATGCCATGTTTAAAGCCACCAGGATCTCTGTGCAGTCACTTGTGCTTAGGCTTGGCGCCGGCTGACGGGCGCAGCGTGGAGGGACCTGTGGTGAGTGGCATTAAGTAAATCCAGTGGCCACGGGTGCCAGGGCTATTCACAGCAGCCACAGGGCTATTCTGCTGGCTGGGGACACCCTCCTGGGTGGCAGCGAGCAAAGGTTAAACGGAGGGGACATGCCCAAATCAACACCAAGGCTCTGCATTAAAGGGTACCTAACAGCTCCTGCGCACCAGCTGAGCCATCCCCGGTGCCAGGGCTATTCACAGCAGCCACAGGGCTATTCTGCTGGCTGGGGACACCCTCCTGGGTGGCAGCGAGCAAAGGTTAAACGGAAGGGACATGTCCAAGTCAACAGCAAGGCTCTGCCTTAAAGGGTACCTAACGGCTCCTGTGCACCAGCTGAGCCATCCCAAAAGCATCAAAGCTGCAAGGGGCAGAGGAAGGTCTTCTTCTTCCTCGCTACAGTGGGAGGGAGGGGTCACCAAACCTGCAGTGCAAAATGCAGCGTCTTATAATGACAGAGGGAACTAACATTCAAGGGTTAACAGTAGAGTCAATAACTACGTTAAATGTATTAGCCCCAAATTTGGCAATATTTAGTGAGAGCACATGAGCCTGACCTTTTTCTGTGTTGGTGGAAGAGACACGAGAAACTGCATTTTGAAAAAGAGAAGGTTTCATAAAGCTGGGTATCCTGACCCCACGCTGCAAGGATGTGGGCACACTCCCAAAAATCGGCACACAAAGCTCCGGGGGGTCACGTGGAGTTTTGAAGGGGAGAAATTCCCATTCACACTTCAAAGAAATTGATGTGGGAGCTCAGAAGAGACCTTGTGGCTGGAGGAGCAGCGTGGGTGCAGTCAGACTCCATCTCCAGACACCTTTAAGAACAGGCTGGATAAATGCTCCTATGGTGTCATGTGGACATTGTTGCCTCTGCCTTGGGCCAGGAAAGCCCACCCAGCCTTTGGGGTTGCTGTTTATCCAGGGCAACCCTTACAAGGTGGTATCTCTTGCCAGATTGTCCATTGTCCAGATCCTAGCTGTGTTACTACAGCAACTCAGGATCTGCTGGAGCTGCTTTTCTTCATGGAGACACCTTGGTTGGCCAAAACATGCATCCCAAAATGCTCCTACAGCCTCTGTGCTGCTCTCTCTGAGGTCTTAGATGGCTAAGTGCACAGGGTCAAGACGAGAAGGTCCAACCTAGAAGATTCTGTGATTCTGAGGGTCAAGACAGGCTGAGAAGCCTGGGGAAGGTCCATCTCATCCACCACACATGTCCAGCCACGTTGTCATAGGTTCTCATGAAGCTGTCTAGGTGCAGCTGACCTTTGAGGAGCCCAGGCACAGGCTGTGACCCCATCCAACAGCAGTGCCTGCCCATGCCATGGGAGTTTATTGAGGTCAGATGGTACCAGGAGCGGCATGGCTAAATCCTTCCTACGTAAAAGTAAAATACCCTTTAATCAGCTTATGGGGTGTTCAGGAACTTCTACCTCCCCCATTCTTTTTTTTTTTTTTTTTTCCCTTTCTTAATGTGTATGTGTGTGAGTCCATGTGTGCAGTGGGGGTGTTCTCTTCTGTGTTTGCAGGTGAACCTTCCCCATGGCAAGGAGCCGCTGTGACGCTGCTGTCTGCTGAGAGCACATTGGAGTGATTTTCCTGCCCCGCTCCCAGGTCTGTAAGAGAAAGGACCCTAATTGGAATAAGGGGATTGGAGGATTTAGCCTTCTAAATGCTCCTTTCTTGCACAGGATGGTTTCAGGAGTGGTTTTAATCTTTACCACCTGATTTTGTAATTTTGGTTGCAAGAGGGCAGAGTGGGCTGGGAAGAAGGTGTGAGCAGGGGCAGCTGGAGATGGGCTTGGGAGGGGAAGGGAGAAGGAAAATCACAGTCCCATATGGCCATGGGACCTCAGAATGCCAGAAAGATATGGGGCTGGAAGGGACCTCTGGAGATCATCTAGTCCAACCCCAAAAAACACCTGAGCAGGGACACCTCCCACCAGCCCAGGTTGCTCCAAGCCCCCTCCAACCTGCCCTTGAACCCCTCCAGGGATGGAGCAGCCACAGCTTCTCTGGCCAACCTGGGCCAGGCTCTCACCACCCTCACACCAAACAAGTTCTTCCCCACAGCTCAGCTCCATCTCCCCTCTTTCAGGGTCAAACCCTTCCCCCTCCTCCTAGGGCTCCCCTCCCTGATAGAGTCCCTAAAATTAAATCCCTAAATTACTCTAAGCAATGGTGTCCAGATCTAGGACATGGGTGACTATTTCTCTACCTACCTGTGCAGTGCTCTGCTCCTGAGCTGCTCTGGAGTTTGTTTCTCCTCTGTTTTGTTTGGCCAGGCAGCAGGGTCCAACATGGCAGGTGGGAGATGTTTTGCTGCAACATGTGGCACCTGTCTGGATTTGCACCAGTTTAAAAAGAAAGTTAGAATGTGGGGGGCAAAAGTCAGGGCAGATCATAGAGGTTTAAAAAGAAAGTTAGAATGTGGGGGGCAGAAGTCAGGGCAGATCATAGAATCATAGATGGTTTATGTTGGAAGGGACCTTAAAGATCATCAAGTTCCAACCCCAAAGTATAAAATGTCACATTCCTGAAAGTGTTCCCACTTGCTCTGAAGCCTGAGAGGAAGATGCTGGAGTTACCTCCAGGGTTGGCAGCACTACTGGGGGGAAGGACAGCAAAACCCTTGCATTAGGAGCTCTGAGCTGTGCCAGAGAAGACCTCGCTCATTTTGATCAAAGTTCCATCTGCTTCCAGCCAAATCCTGGGGTGAAATCTGCAGCAAAACCTAGGAGAGATTAAAAAAAATATTAGGTGTTTGGCTCACACTGGGAAAAAAAAACATAATGCTTGAAACATTTTGCTAAGAATAACCTAGGAGAGATTAAGAAAAATATGAGATGTTTGGCTCACACTGGGGAAAAAAAACATAACGCTTGAAACATTTTGCTAAGGACCAGGAAGAGAAAGGGGAAAAGTTCTCTGCTGGTGCGTGAGAGGTACCCTGGGTGCT